TGTAATGTGTCTAGTCCTACCTTTGGTACAGACTGAATATACAGGATTTGTTCTTTCTCCATGTGTAACAACACTATGTCACACGATATACTTCAGATTATTGCCTTACATGTAAATCCTGTACGAATATGAAATATTTCAGAACTAAATACGCTGAAAATTTCTGTACTATATGTTCGCATTATTATTATTATTATATTGTCATTAAACTCTTGTAACTATGTGATATACACTTTGCTTCATTTTACAGCAGAATACTTCAGCGGCCTACTGAAATTAATTCAGCTATCAGATCTCAGTTTTTCGAATTGATTTTTAACTGCTCATAATGATCAGTGTTCTTTTAGGTTCCTAGTGGTGAAGTCATCTACGGTGTTAGTGAGGTTGAAAATTTTGGATAGAATGCTTTTAGTCCACAAAATATCATATTGGGATTTTCTCTCGGAATGTACAAATACTTGAATTAACTTGCAAGTGTCAGCTTGTTCACGCGATGACATCAGTTAGACAACCACTGTAAAACCGCCAGGAAGTACTGAAGATTTTGTTCCATCCAAGCTTAGGACTCTTCAGCACTACGCACCCACGGGGGTCTACACCCAGTACCCTCTGGCTACAAGGCAGGCTTATAGACCACTCCCAGGCACTAGGACGCGATCCATTAGTCGATGAATTCGAACTTCTGCCAATTCGCAATATATATATATATATTCTCTCGGGTGATCAGGCATAACTAGAGTACAATGAAGCACTTGGTTTTTTGGGATGAATCATACTTCTCACTGATGATAAGGCCGACATAGATAATGAGAGAAACAACTCTTCAGTGTATATAGATCGCTTCTCTCTAACTAGTCAGCATTGTTATTTCGTGTTAGGAGTGACATTTACATGCCAGAGCTGTTTGAATACGAAGGAAAGTTTCAAAGTCTTTAATACCATCCATTACAGTATTTAGCTGTTCTCAGAAGCTTACGTAATATTTGAAAATTATATTGGGGAAAAAAATAGTCGAAATCAATTACAAACTAATTCATGTACTGTATGAATAGCAGCCATTTTTAAATTGGACATTTATTCAACTTTCTGCAGTTGAATAATTTTTCTCATAAAAATATAAAAATATCTTAAACTGACTGTTTTTTTGTGTCGCTTTTAATCCCCGTATTGATTGATTAGATCGAAATGTTCGGCGCCTGTTAACATGTCGACACCGAATACGGAGGCTTCTAGTCTCGGTGAGAATAATATCACTCACTAGGGAATGCAGATACATCCAGCAGATGATGAGTTGTGAATAGGACGAAATTCGCATCCTGGATTCCACTGCCACCTATAACACCCATCAAATTGCTTTAACTCCAACCAAAGTTACTTGGATTGTTACTGTTTTTCATGGTCAGTATATTAGACGGTATTCATCTGTTTCTGGAGATGTAGCGCATATATTACCCCATCAATATCATCTACTCAGAGAGATATCGTTAAATTTTAAGTTTCATTGATTAATACAGAGAATGGTATGAAACGTGTTTCCTGATTTCTGTTCTCCAGTAACACTGAAAAGCAGTTCATACTCGGCTGTTGTATAATTCATCATGATAATATTTGTGTGTTCTATGGGTTTGCAAACAATCAGTTATATACATATTCACCATTTTAATTACAACGAGGTGACAGATGAAAGTTTAATTTTTGATTTCGTGTGCTTCAGAAATATCCGATTTAGTCTATCCAGTGACTAAATTCTGTCTAAAAATATGATCACATATAAAAATAGTTGATTTCTCCTTTGAAACCTTCAGTAAAATTATTCATTGTGAAGAGGCAGCAGGATAGGATTAATAAAACGGATTTAATGTAAATGTAGAAAGTTAGGCGTTGCGGCAGAATATAATTCCGTGTTAGATAAATTTATCAGATATACCACACAGTGATATAGTATTAATAACTCGATAGCTTTTCGAATACAATGTATTGCTTAATATTTATACCAATATATACATTCACATGACCTGTTAAACAGGGGGGTGAGTTAAACTACATAAAGCAGATTAAAGTCATGTGAATATATTGATACGATTAGGTGCAACCAAACTGTGCTCGAGATATCACCTAGTTATTGATACTGCATGTTATATCAAAAATAGAGAAAATAACGAATAACTATATCAGAAGAATCTTCATCTGTGACTGTTTAGAAGAAGAACTCTTATTTCTCAAAATAATCCTAGTTGAAAATGGGTACCAGGCGCTGTTTATGGAAAAGAAAATGAAACCAAAACTAGAAAGAGAAGAATGCGGTTCACTGTCAAATAAAATACTGTTTATGAACTTAGACTTCAGGAGAGACCTACAGTAAATATCCTAAAGAAGGAATTCTCTAGTTCCCGATAGAAGACCCTTCTTGCAGTGACTCTAAGAGTGATATTCTCCAGCCATCCACCGCTTCTAAGCATGTGACCACTCCAATTTGCATATATCAACTCATTTCCTCCTGGGGAGCTAAGTACATATGCTGCTCTGTGCTAATCCCTTCAAAACGTCTAAGAGAACACTGGCTATAATGACCGTAAAGACGCAGCTTTCGCCCAATCAGAAGCGGTGAAATTGAGCACTTCATCAGCAGCTGTTACATCTCAGCTAACTCACCGTTCAGATTCATTTACAAAGTGAACAAAAATCTACTAAATGCAGTAGGTTTCCGGTTTCTTTTTACTGCAGAATCCTTTGGCATATACACCGAGAAGCCAGGGTTAAATGTTTAGAATAAATTATTCCAATCTCTAGATTTACCATAGATCTAGTTCTGTTGTGAAGGCAGAAAAATATCAAATTATCCATTCATTGTAAAATAATAAAAACAATGAATCCACTCCAGCTTGCTCACCGCGCACTACGGATGATACATATTCCCTTCTCGAGCATTTTGCTTCCCACTATTGCCAATCATCGCTGACCGGTGCCTAATCAGTATATCCAAATTTTGGATATTTTGTTTCAACCTCCATTTCCCTTCGCAAGTACCTCTCGGACTGTTGGTATACCCTTGTGTAGAGTGAGCAATTGCAGATCAAAAGGACTACTTTATTACTTCGACCCCGTACGTATTTATTTGTGTATTTTGGGATAATTATAACTCACCAAATAAGGGTGTGAACTGAATTCTTCTCTACCTGCACATTTACATTTATTTATTTGCTAGATCTCTCTCTATATATATACCTTAACGCAAGTTTGTATTTGTTTTGTTATTTCCCCTCGCATATAAACGAGTTTAGCCGGTTTAGTCCACTACATTATCTAACTTCCTTAGTTTTCGCTTCCTTGTTTTTTCTTTATTCCCTCCTTTTTTTCATCGTCACTTATAAAAATAAATATAAGACTCCAATTTGTTTCTATGCATATCCTGTTCATACCTGACTTCCTTATAAAAAACTATTTTACATACTATGCAAGTATTTTGTAATCTTATGTAAATTTATTCTTCTATCCCTCTTGTGATCGATGTTCACGATTTTTTAAACTTTTATGTTAAGTTGAAATGCTATTATCACCTTCGCCTCAGTATGTTGGATTGAATTATAACTGTGACTATGTAAGCCACGTGTCAAGTGATCCACAACGGAAAACTCAGCGAGGCGCTCAAAGTGCACATAGGAGTAAGACAAGGCTGCCTATCATCACCGATGATATTCTTAATTGTGGCGGACTGTATTAAGCGTCGGATTGTGGGGGAGGACGAGGAGTCAGTAATACGCTGGACGACAGATAAGAAAACTCCAGAAGATCTGGATTTCGCAGATGATATATGTCTAATGTCACACAAACTCGAAGACTCACAGGCAGGCAGGCAAAAACCAACAAACTGGCTGAAGAGGCTTGCTAGCAGCGAAGACAAGACTACAGGTGGACATAGAGAAGGTGGAAACGGAGTTCGTGGAGATGACAAGTGAACCGCAACAATAAAAACCAGCCCCAGGAGAGATTTATCTGAGGTTACCTCCTTCACTTATCTGGCCAGGAAGTATCGTTTCAACTATAGGCCAGCTGAACGGATGAAGATGTCAAAGTCAGCGAGAAAGAAACGGAAAGGCAAGATACGCACGCCTTCATCAACCTGAAACCAGTTTGGACATCTTCTGCACTAACTCAGTCAGCCAGTATAAAGAACAAGATTCGGATTTTCAACACCGATGTCAATTCGTTCAGTGCTTCTATACGGGTCAGAAACTTGGCCAGCATGTAACGAAAAAGATTTCCAACAGGTTACAGACTTTCATCAGCAGCTGTCTTCGCTGGCTCCATACTGAAGAAGAAGTGGCTGGCTGGTCAGCCAGAAAGAATTAGTAACAAGAAAATCTGGCTGGGAACACACCAACCAACCAAGAGCCGATTGCTTAACAAATATTTTGAAGAAAATGGAGATGAAGGAGGCCATAGAATGACATCGTGCAGAATGCAGGCCATCACTCGAATGGAATCCAAATGGGAAGCGACAAGTTGGTCGTCCTAGAGTGACATGGAAGAGTACGTGTGAAGAAGAGATGAGAGTGTTTTGTTAATCGTGGACCCAAGTGGAGAGGACGACAGAAAACAGAACAAAGTGGAGATGTGTTGTTGAAGCCCTATGTTCCACTAGAAACGCAGGGAAATAATAAATATAATAAGCTTATGGATCAAAAGAAATTGGATTGTACAGCATTTTAGGATAACATCGCCGAGAAAAGTGTCGTTATTAAACTTTTTACTTCTTTCTGTCTAATACTCTGATGGATATTTTCCACAATCTATATTAGATAAACTTTTCTAACAGTTTTGCGTCTGAAACGTTATGACAGGTAGCATATGTATAAGACAGCAGTTCTTTGAACTAAGAACTCATTTACCACCTCGAACACATGTACTAAAATTATTTCCATAAATTCTACACACCCTTTTGAAAAGGGTGTTAAAAGTGAACCGAAAAGAAAAAAACAAACAAAACAAACACCACTTACTATTATTAACATGATGACGTGGCTGTTGTCGTTTAATCTGTAACCATTTAAACGGTTGTACAAGTTTTGTATTCGTTGATGCTGTTGTCGTCTGTATTCCACTTGTCAATGATGATAAAGTCTGTCCTACTACTGAAGTTAAAACTCCAGTAGTTAATGATTTACTATGTCTAGATTTATTTACATTGCTCATAGAATGTAAAGGTTGTGAATTCTGTAATTGTTTATCCACGCCTTTTTCAGTATGTAGAGTGTACGGTTGACGTTGATCTGAAAAACTACTGTGATAATTCTGTTGAGAAGGTAGTAATAGTGATTCTGTTTTTGTTAATTGACAATTGTTAACTGCCTTTTCGGGTATAATCTGATCTTCTTCTTCTTCACAATGTTGACGATAACCTTTTAATTCTGTGAATAGCTTAACTTTTGACTTATCATCTATTTTAGGAATATTCCACGGCTTTTGAAATGAAGACAATGATTCTGTATGTGTTGTTGTACTGGTATATGATGAAAATGTAGTCTGTACATTATTTGTATAACAACCTTCTTCATTTATATATAATGGGGTATACATTTGTTGGATGTTGGATGATTCTTGTTTCACTGAACTCTCATCATCAGAATAAAATGGTAAGCATAAATTAGAATGTGTTGATGCTACAGCTGTAGAGGCTTTATGGTATATAATATTTAATCTATTGTCTGTTAACTCTGTTATACTTTGTGAATTTGTGAAGTGCTCCTTGACATTGTTCTGTTCATTCGTTTTGGCGACTTCATTCAAATATTCAAATTTTGAAGTTCTTAAAGGGATAGTAGACAATGAGGATGTTATAGATGTTATTGGATGTTTAATAAATTCAGAGCATAATGAAGTTTCACAGGATAGTTCGGTTTCATGTGCTATGGGATGATGATGATGATGATGATAATAAGATGGATGATATTCCATGAGACCAGTGTGCAATCTTTGAAATGCACTGTCATCGTGCTTCAGTAAATCTTTTCGATATTCATGATCTGATGTGAACTGAGAAGGTTGATTAGACAAAAAGTTATTATTATTATTGTTAATTCTATCATATTTTTCCGTTTCTTCAAGTTTACAATAGCTGACTGTGTTATGATGATTGGTAATCAGTGGAAATCCATGAAATACACTCCCAAGATTATTTGATAAAATTGTCAACTCATCAACTGTAGAACACTGTGACCAACATGATGGCATCATAGATGATTGTGAAGCATTCAAATCACTAGCAGTTATAGTAGGTGATGTACACGAAGTAGTAGAAGTGGTAATCACATCACCAACAGTCGTCTCTGAAGAAGGTGAAGAGGTGGAACACGATGATCGAGAAGACGAAGATGATGTCGTTGAGGATGATGATATTGATGAAGGAGGAGGAGGTATACATTTATTTATACTTGTTAACATGTTATAATCAATTCTATGCTTCATGCAAACTGATTTATTCGGGTATGTAGGAGGAAGTAAAAAGGGTGTATCACCAGTAGTAGTAGTAGTAGCAGCAGACAGTGCTGTTATATCATGACTATCATCATCACATGGATTACAGTTTGATGCATTCATATTATCATATTCATTTGTAGTATATTGTGTATAGCATGAATCATTACAAGCAGAAAATGGCATACGAATACTGGAAGAACACAGTGGTGATGTTGTTGTTGTGGAGGATGACAATGATGGATTACTAGAAGAAGACGATAATAATGAAACTGGATTATTCATCAGTGAATACTCTTCACTCAGTGGATAATACCAGTTGTAAAAACAGTAGTTATTTTCATAGAAACCTGTGTAATTTTGATTATCAAGGTTATATATTGTGTAATCAGCTGTCAGATTCATGATAATAATAATAATAACGAAGAAGAAGAAAGCAATTCAAATGCACCGCTTTTGTTTTGTTTATTTAAAGATAGATTTATTGTTTATACACACATTAAGGTGAAGTAATCAAATTATGAAAATAACGAATTGAATGTATAATCATGACTTCCCCGTTTCTATCATGGGTTGTTATATCACAACAAAAATAAATAGTCTATTTCAGTAGTATATTTTTAACCCTGTGGTCGTTTTTCCTACACTAATTCGTGTGTGTGTGTGTGTGTGTGTTATCCAACGTATACACACATCTTTATCTCTCTCACCCTCGTCAAAAGTGAGAAGGCTTCATTCGAATGGACAGAATCTGTTCAGTGCAAAAGTAGAATTGCGGGCTGGCAGACAGGGGAGGGGAGAGGGTTAGAGAAATGCAAGCGATTCAATAGACCTGTATCCATTTGGGAAAATTAGTTAGAGAATAAAAAGGGGATGGATGACAGGAAAACTGTTTCATTGGCTAATTTTATTCTACACAGAGGGGAAAATATTTGCTAAAGACAGAATTTATGCGACCAATTTTTTACCAGTACGCCAATTATAGACGTTTCTATTTGTGTTTAAAATGAAGGCATAATGTTTATAATGTGTTAGACAATGGTATCCCAGAAATTAGTTTACAGACTGATCGATAAATGTCTCCTAAAACAAAAGAGTCACTGATGAAATCTTCTCTTATTTTTCCTTATTTGTTGTGTGGTGAACTATGCAATTTCATACCTAATGAAAAGAATGAGTGTTAGTCAAAACAAAACGAAATATTCTTAAAATCATATGACTCCGACTGAAAACTGGTTAACATTACGTAGTGTCTATTGTAGCACAGACTACTAACATATGTATACTAATGTGTTATATGTAGTGCTATTTGAGTAGTTTGTTAGATGGTTGGAGAAAGCCTTAGATAGTAGATTTCGTGCCTACTGGCACTCGTCGACCAGGAGCTCTGTATCTGCATTCTTGAAGGAATGTATGTCTCTCCTGAGATTTGAATCTAGGTCATTCACTGCTGAAGTCAGAGATGTTACCACTGAACTATTCGCGGTGGCTACTGACTAGCTGTAAGACTGTCATGGATACTTTCGTTGGACACTAGGTATTGTGACTAATGTCATGAGTCTAGCCTTTCATTTGATTCAATGTTTCTACACATAATTATCTATTAAATTTTTCATCTGATTTTAATTATTCAAAATTGAATCATTAAAAAAACATTCGGATAATGATCGCTTTATTATAAGTAGGAGGTCAGTGGCGAACCCGAATAGCTCACTGATAAGGTGCTTGACTGCAGCATTGGGTGACTCAAGTTATAAGCTCAAAAAGACACGAGCTCCTTCAAGACACGAGCAAGTATTCACCTGACTGACGAAGGCTAACAAGCGCGAAACCTAGGTCCAAGGCTCCACGCCAATTGCCTCCAACCATCTAATAACAATTCAGAGTGCAACGTAATGACAAACTATTTAGTTTGGCGGCCATATTGTAGACTTGACTGATAGAATTGAGCCTGCAAGCATAGGAAAGGACTAGACGCATGCTATTGGTTATCTGGTGTTCAATCAAAGTAGAAAATACTTTCAACTATACAAATAATAGAAAGAATTAATCAGTGTTAAATTCACAGTTGGTTTGATCACGACACGAGTCGACATCATTTAGAGAACAAATAGAAAACCACCAGGGAGTACTGGATAGCAGTTTGTTCCTAGTGTGGGACTCTTTAACAGTACGCACTCGCCATGCTTTGAGACCAGGACCCTCTAGTTACAAGGTGAGCTCGTAGATCATTCAGCCACCGGGACGTGATTGATTGGTCCATGAATTTCAACTTCTGTCAATTCACGATAAATAAATGGTACAACCGCCAACCAATATCATAAACGAGTTACTGATCTCTTACCTGACTTGGTGGAACCAGCCGGTTAACGATCAACACCAAAAAAATTCACAAGAATCTTTTTATACCAAGAAATGAACATAAATGAAACACAGTCAAATGGCCAAATGGAAGGTGGATTTGAAAAAAAAATATCACTGACTAATAGAAGGCTGAGCGTCGGTGGCATAGCGGTTAGGACGCTCGCCGACCACGCACATGGTCCGGGGTTCGGTCCCCCGCCGACGCACTCCTTTACCTCTCTAAGCCAGAAGTAATGCTGGTGAAGAGGAAAGGTTGGGCATGAGGCTAGCAACCCCATCCTGTAAAAATAAACACTGCTAAAGAAACTTCAAGCCACTAGCTTAAAGCCCTATGTTCCACTGGGGAACGTGAAGGATAAAAAAAATAGAAGGCTGAAAATCTTCGCACTTCAGCAACGGCAGTTAGTGATACAGTTTCTAACTATGACAGGGACAACTTTTTTTTACCTAAATTAGAATTCATGGGCCATTGGCTTGGGTCCCAATGGCCTAATGGTCTACGAGCTCGCTAGCCTGGGTTTTAACCCCAGTGGGTGCGTACTGATGGAGAGTTCCAAACTGGGACGAAACAGCCTGCTATCCAGTACTCCTTGGTGGTTTTCCAATGGTTCTCTAACCGATGTCAGCTCATGATGAAATCCTCCAACTAATCAGACCAAATCCCTACAAAAACCAATACTTGAAAAGTAAACATAAAGATTAAAAAGTTGATCTATGCTGTAAAGTGTTGAACAGAAAATATAGGTAGGAACTTGAGAAGAAAATGTGCATCCACGAGTTTCAAAACTCTATTAGTTAAACCACCTAATGAGTATCTAGTCGGTAACTCTATCCCACAAAAAAGATGAATTTGATTTTCAGGATTAGATCTTTGCACAAGGAGTTGCACATGTGAATAACATAACAAACTTCATTAATATCACTAACCTTAATACATTTCGATAGTCAAAAACATAGGAAATTATTCAATATGTATTTACGTAACGAAGTTTCGAGCAGTTTACCTAGAACAATGCTGAAAGGACATACAGTAAATAATCGGTGTCTGTACTCAAGGAGGTGGTAACATGATAAATATGTAGTAAATAGCTGTTGTACATAAGTTGACTGAACTTCATAATCTTTAGTTATTTTTTTTCCTTCACGTTCCCCAGTGGAACATATGGCTTCAAGCTAGTGGCTTGAAGTTTCTGTAGCAGTGTTTATTTTACAGGATGGGGTTGCTAGCCTCATGCCCAACCTTTCCTCTTCACCAGCATTATTTCTGGCTTAGCGAGGTATAGGAGTGAGTCGGCCGGGAATCGAACCCCGGACCATGTGCATGGTCAGCGAGCGTCCTAACCGCTATGCCACAATCTTCAGTTATAGGTAAGCGTTAAAAATTCAAACCTTCTTCCTCGTTCTAAGTTCTCTAGATAACCACACTCATTTCACAGTAATGATGCCGGCAGGATTTTTTATCCTGTCCCACGTCACCTGTAGTTTAGACGATGCTGCCGAATTAAGTGAAAGAGGCAATTTTCTTTTAAAGCTTTCCCATTAACGGTGATAAGTGTTTGTTAATGTCATCACCCCCTGTTTTCTCTTTGTTCATCTGTAGCTCTGTCTACAATGCCATTTATTTATTGTTCAGTGATGACTCCTAGTGTTGCGATATCCTCTATGCATGACTTGCGTTTTCCTTAATCCAGTGTGTTCCAGGAAAAGTCTTTCATTCTAGAATTTCTTGTCTTCATTTGGAATTAGGTGTCTCATTCTACTTTTGAACTTAACTTTGTCAGGTATACAAGTAATTTGAGGCATCTTCTGATGTTCCATCATTTATGTTTTATTCATTAGCCAGTTTCTTTTTTACTAATCGCCTTCAGTAGCCACCTTTATCAAATAATTACTACCTGCAAAAATTGCTTAAGTGCAACTAGTTGTTATTACATCAGTTATTTTGTATTTTTTTTTGTTCCTTAACGTCCCCAGTGGAACATAGGGCTTCAAGAGGCAGCTTTGAAGTTTCAATAGCAGTGATACTTGTTTTTACGGGATGAGGTCGCTAGCCTCATGCCCAACCTCCCCTTTCTACCAGTCTTATTACTGGCTTAGCAAGGTAAAGGAGTTCGTCGGCTGGGGATCGGACCCCGAATCACATGTGGCGTGACTGGCGAGCATTCTACCTCTGTAACGCTGACGCACAAGTTTATATTACGGAAGCATTTATACTCAAAATTATCCAGTCTATATAGATCAAAGAAAGCTTTCGAACAGGTTCACGTCCCACCCCAAAGATTCTATCACCGAATCTCGAATTTAAAAATGATATTGCAGCAGACAGTCACTATAAAGGACTTTCAAAATCTCTAAAGTAAAATATACTTTACTACGAGCCAACGACTAGTACTTTCTTCCAAGAATCTATTCAGTAAGCAAGTGAAAGACAAACTATCGAATTGGGCCACATCAGCATGCAGATACTAGTTCAATTACTCATTTTGATCTGAATACATTGCCCGTCTCATGCATCTGCTTTTAAAACGCACCCAGAAGCATTATCCAATCTGGCTGGCAAAAGGAGAAAGTAGGTGCGTTTATAGCTTGGGGTAACAGAATATCTGGTGAACAAATAACACACACCTCGATTTGAAAAGCTCTTCAAATTCCTATAAAAAAAATAACTTATTACTTTTTAAGATAAACTCAAGCGTTTTTATTTATTGTGTACTAGAGTAGAAACGTGTGAAAGCAAAGCATAATTTCGGTGATGTTTATTCGAAATATCCTCATAGCACATCGTGAACATGAAAATTTTTGCCTTAAGTATTATTTCCAATAACCTCTTCTTCTTCTCACTGTACATATAAAAGTCCGTGAATGTTACAATAGAACAGTTAATAAAGGTGAATAAATTTTGATTTTCCTTTTTTCCTGGCTATTTGTTTTTCAATCAACTCTGATATAAAATCACTCTGCTACAAAATGAAAGAAGAATACTGATCCATGAATATTTTTAGATGCGTCAGTAATTCAGCCACAGCATGTAGTCTGGGATTCAATTCCCTGCCGATACACTCTTTCATCTAGCTATGCTGGTAGCAATCCCAGTAAAGAGGGGAAGTTGAGTGTGAGGCTAGCCGCGCCCCCCACCTCCCCCCCTCTATAAAACTAAAACTACTACTACCAACATTTCAAAGCTAAAACTTGAAGCCCTAAGTCCCAGTGAGAAAGTAAAGGAATAAAAACAAAAGTGAATACTTTTAACCCGTTCAGATAAGATATTCAAAATTTAGAAATTTAATTTTACAAACATATTGAGGCTTGTATACTCTCTACACAAATCCAAAGTGTGTGGTCTACCCTTTTTAACAATATTAACATCAAAGATACCTAACTCTAACTCTAAATATGTAAGGAAACTTGAATGATGATGGAGTAATCTATGAAAGCTAGTCAGTATTGTGTATTTCATAAGGAGTATAATCTACAGTTCATTCATCTTAAATAAAACTCAGAATATCAAATTGATTCATAATTTTTTAACTTACAATTACCATATGACCACCATTTGGGTTGTTCAAAAGGTATAATTATGATATTTCGCACAGTTGTTTTTAAAAAATAAACTTTCTCCAACAATCTACACTATCTGTATTTTGATTGTTTCAATTCTCCTTTTTGTTTTCTGGCTTATTAAAAATCCACAATGTGAGATAAATTCTAACCGATAGCCAAGTTGAATATCACTCCTTTTTCTTATACTTTTCTGCTGATTAGTAATTGTTGATACCGGTAAAGTGAAATAATATGCGAAGAGTTTAGCTTAAGTGTTGTTACTCTCTGTGTGTGTGTATGTGTATGCATGTGGGTGTGTGAGTGAGTGAGTGAGTGCGCGCGTATATTTATCATTCCTACAAAATTTTACTCTTCTTCTGTTAACACGCATATCTTTCATATTTTCCAATTGAAAAACAAAAATATCAATGATAAAAAAAACATGATCATGTTTATTTCAGTGATTGTGAAATAATTGATTTACTTCTCTCCCTCTCCGTGTCTCACTCTCACATATACGCCGGTTGTCTGGTGGTTGGTAATGTCTACGACACTTTAATTGTTGACTTATTATTATTATTATCGTTATTCTTTTGCTAATTTCAGACGAAAAAAATCGTTTCAAAAAAATATAAGAAACTCAATTTCTAAAGGCTTTTGGTAAACTTTACTCATTTTGTTATTTTCTCCCTTTGGGAAAATCCTCGAAGGTAATTAAATCACACAGGTCTGTTAACATCTAATATGAATGACATTTTACTATACTTGTAAGTTTCTATAGCGACTGAATTTATTTTCTGAGATAGGTTAGCTAGCTCGATACCCCCAACCTTCTCCTCTATCCCAGGCTTAGGACAAGCTGGTTAACTAGGCGAGGATGATCTGTTTTCTGTCGTTAATTTGTAAGGATTATATTTGTTTTTCCGAGGTGATAACGGATTGATATCAGTTAGAGAACCATTGAAAACCATCAGGAAGAGGTACTGAACAGTTGTTTCATCTTAATTTGGGAATCATCGGCAGTACGCACCCACCACCAGGATTCGAACCCAGGACCTTCCGGTTACAAGGAAAGCCACTGGGACCCGATTCAATGGCCCCTGAATTCTAACTTCTACCAATTTGTTCGTCATTTAGCGCAACCACCAACCGATGTCATCGGTAGGAATTCCATCCTCACACTTGGCTGGATTGACCTCACTGGTCACGGCTTCTCACTAGAACTCCAGGACACTCCGTCCTGTAGCAAGTCATTAGCGAGCATCAGACTCATTTTCAAGAGTTGGTTTGTTTAGGATTATATTTGTTTTTACAAGTTGATTACGCTGGCTGAATGGTATATGAGCTTGCCTTGTAACCGGAAGGTGTCCTGGTTTCGAAGCCTGGTGGTGGGTGCGTACTGCCGATGATTCCGAAACTAGGATGGAACGGCTGCCGAGGATGATCTGTGTGTAATATAAGATAAACTTGGAGATCTACATGAGAAAAGCAATAAGTTGGCAAAAGAGGTAGACAAAGAAGACAGGACTTTATGTGATAAAGACGCCTAACTAACAATTACAACAACTAACATCAATCACTATCAACGGGATAAATCTAAAAGGTGTTATCCTTTTCACTTACCTTCGCAGCAGTATTTCAGAAAGGTGCCGCACAGGTGAGGAAAGACCTGTATTACCGTGATATTACATTGGAAATCTACACCACTAAGCACAAGTAATAAAATCTACATTTTCAACACTAATGTCAAGTGAGTTAGTGCTTTTATATGGTTCAAAGACTTGGTGCTCGTGTCACTAAAAGCATTCCCAACAGCTTGTTGCACACCCTCATAAACAACTGACTTAGTTCCGTAAAGAAGATCAAATGGAAGGTCTCAAAGCATAAGCAACAAGGAGATCTGGAAATAAACCATCTAAGAGCCTATCATCGGAAAAATATGCAATAGAAGATGGAGATGGATTGGACATACCCTGTGAACACTGTTGAATGATACCACGCGACAGACCAGGCATCGAGTTGGGCATAGATCAAAGGATGATAGGAAGGAGATAGTATGAGATGGATGCAAAAGCCTATGAACCGTTGTCGTCTAGATGGATGACGAAAGCTTCACAATTAAATCAACCATCTCAGAGAACACAACTAATTCAAGAAAAGATTTTGCTATTAGTGGAAAGCTACACGATTTATATACAGTCTTAAAGTAGAGAAAGATAGTGAATGTCACATGTATATTTATGAAAATTCATCTTATATTGTTCAGTTTACATTAAGAGATGTCGAAAGCAATGACAGAAGAAAGTACAATGACAACGCAAACCTATTTTAAAATCATCCGACCCCCTTAAATGAGCCCAGAAAGGCATTATTATTATTCGAATGAATAGAAAGCAGATGTTTTAAAATCAAATTCTGAATTTGTAGATTAGTCTTCACTCTGCGATGTTCCCAGTTATAGAGGGGAGAAATTCCCCCATAGTTTCCTTTGGAAACTAAATCACTCAGATCACATACTGTGATCTGCTTGATGAGATCGGCCCCCAAATGAGCTTTTGACTTTGTAAATAACTCCGAGTGAATCTTTCTTATATACTGAGTGGTCAGTTTTAGATTTATGTTCAATGATAGCACTTCTAATTGATCTATGGTCATCTTTCTGTAGCCAAGAGGGATAATGTTCCTAGACTCTTTCAGATAAAGCATCAATTGTACGACGTTTTATATGTTGCTCCACAGGAGCATGTGAATTATTAGATTCACATAAAAGTGGTCAAATACAATAATTTGTCTTTAGTGTTACCGAAGAACATTAGCCGGCAGAAGAATACCAGTCATAATGCAGAAGCAAAACTAGTTCTTTTCAGGACATGTAATATTCTGTTCTCTCTGGTATCTATCAGAAAGTTACATTTGAATTCCACGTTCATGTATAGCTTCTTCTTCGACACAGAGATGCGGTTTTTTCTTCTTGGCTTTGGGTTTTATGGGAGAAACAGATGTTGATATTAGATGGTTGGAGGCAGTCGGCAGTCAGAGACGTCAACACTGAGCTATCTAGGCTCGCGATTGACCTCCGGTAAGACTGTAGTGGATACTTTGATTGGACAATAGTTAGTACCTCTGCAATGTGTCTAGTCCTTTGTTTGGTGCAGAGTGATTTCTATCAGTCAAATTTGCAATATGGTCACCATTCTGGATGACTGTATCACTGGGCAACGCGGGTTCGAATCCCAGAAGGGACATGAGTTCCTTCAAGGCTGCAAATACTCCTGGTTGACTGATGAGTGTCAACTAGCACGAGACCTAGGTGAGGCAAGGCTTCCTGACGATTGCCTCCAACCATATAATATCAACAGTCCAAAGTGCACCATGAATCCCAGCCATCTAGAATGGTAGTCACATTACAAACTTGACTGATCGAATTTAGTCTACACCAAAGATAGGACTAGACACATTACACTAGGTACTAACTAGTTTCTAATCAAAAGAAATATATATCTCATGCTGTTTGGTACTGGATATTTCATAGGGTAGCTTTGCTCGAGATACCAATAAAATTAAACCAGATACGTACTTATTTAGACAGTTAATCCCTCAGTAATAATCACCTGCCACAAACTTAAATCAGTTAGTTGAATAACCAGAAAATTACTTAAAATAATCCTACTATGTTCAGAAAGATAAGACGAAATTATTACAAACATTTCTCCATGTAAGACACAGTCTCCTCTACAGAATTCCTAGGATTTGAATAGAAACCTGTTGAAATTTGGTCACAGATTAATATAGGTCTAAGAACCACTGAAAACCAGGGAGCAATAGACAGTACTTCTTGTCCTAGTTCGGGACTCTTCAGAGGTACTCACCCAGTGGAGTTTGAAAAGTTCTCCTTCGAGATCGTACTGATGAGGAGTCCCAAAATAGGGTGAAACCACCATCCAGTACTGTGTGTTTTGTAGTGTCTGTCTAAGTGTTATCAGTCCATGATCAAAGTTGAAACAAATAGAATCCCTACAAAAACCAATTCTTGAAAATTAATCTGATGCTCGCCAGAGACTGGTTATAGGACGAAGTAGCTTGGGGTCCGCCAAGTCTGGAGTGAGGACAAATACTCGCTGATGGTCGTGCTAAAATGAAGAATTAGTGGAAGCTGAAATTCATGGACTAGCCATTTGATCAGCTTCCAGTGGCTGAATGGTGTACGAGTTCTCCCTGTATCCGGAAGGTCCTGGTTTTGAACCCTGGTTGGCGCCTACTGATGAAGAATCCCAAACCAGGGCGACACAGTACCATCTAGTACTCCCTGATTTTCTATGGTTCTTAAACTGATATTAATGCAGGATCAAACTTGAAATAAACCAAGTCCCTACAGTATAGCATATGAAAAGCTAATTCAGTCGAACTCGGAACTCAAATTATTCCAGGAAATTCCCATCAGCTGTAGTCTAGACTGGTTACAGGATTTCATCATGAGCTGACATCAGTTAGAGAACCATTGGAAAACTACCAAGGAGTACTGGATACCCGGCCGTTTTCTCCTAGTTTGGGACTCTTCAGCAATACACACCCACCGTAGGAGTTCGAACCCACCACCTTCTGGTTACAAGGCGAGCCAGTTCGTAGACCATTAAGCCACTGGGACCCGATGCAATTGTCCCTGAATTCTAACTTCTGCCAATTCATGACATAGCGTGATCTTCTTCAATGAGTTTAGTCTAGATGCTCATGACTGGTTAGATATAATTACGGTTTCATATCTACATACAGCTTGTTTCAAGTGACACCAAAATGATTTATTGGTAATTTTTGTTTTCCCATGTGTTGATTCACATTTTATAAGACAAAGAGATAAGTGTCAGCAAACGATTACAGCCATAACAGAGTAACAAAATGTTAGTAATGTACAATTACTAGAAAATTTCGTTTTGCCATAGACTTTATTACTTATAGTCTATAGGGTTTTGCTTCTGAAAGGTTATCAAATAAGGTGGTAGAGATTATTAGTACACATTTTTCAAGTGTCAAAAGTATGTAAGCGTATTTTTAGGCCAATATATATATATATATATTTGCAAACACTTATAACGGAACCTGAGGGTCACAAAATGTCTGAAAAGGGAAAAGTTTGTACACATGCGTTTTCATATCTGTTTGTTAATACAATTTAGTATAGATAGATGTAAAACTTTTCTACCATTTCTAAGTGGTTCCTCTGTATTTTAAAAGAT